TTGACCCATCCTGGAATTCATTGAAAGGGGAACACATACAAACAGGAACACACACACACACACACACACACACATCAGAGTAAAAACCAACGAAGTAACACAGAAAACCTCAGTTGAAAAGAGTAGAACACACTGAACAGCCAGACCGCATTTAGAGTGGGTATTACTTTCAGAAGGGATTTTGCAAAGGCTTGTGGACAACGAGGTCAAGATCTTGAAGTGGTGAGATCAGACGGAACATGTTTTCGTTCGCGTTCGTTGCCTCAGCTCTAGCTGATTCCGTTGAGAGATGTGTACAGGTCTCAGAGCCGGCACACATAGAGGTCCTTGCGAGCTGACCTTTCCCCAGAGAAGAAGGGTTGTTCCCCGTAGCTTGTGACTGCGGTGTGACTCGCTGAGGGATGGTGGGGAATCTGCCTCATGCTTTGCTTCCTCCCCTGCCAGCTCCCGTCGGTGGAGGGCCAACTGGACAGCGTGAACAGAGTCCTGAGGACAGATCTGGTTGGCCTGGCTCAACAGGTAGGTTTTGGGGGAGAAAGAGAGCGGACAGGAGAGCAGAAAACAGGAAGCGAAACAAAAAGGCAGTGAGGGTCTGCTGGAGGGCCCAAGACCAGGGGGGACATTGTATCCCCCAGGGAGTTCGGTTCCCCTTTCCCAGCCCCTGTTTGGTGCCAAGCACCGTACTGCTTGCTGCCACAATGACCCCCAACCATTGAGTCCATTCTGTGGTCACCCTACAGAGCAGGGGAGAACGTCCCCTGTGCGTTTCTGAGACTGTCGCTCATATACGGGAGTAAAAAACCTCCTTCTTCTCCCACGGAATGGCTGCTGTATTGAACCGCTGGCCTTGCAGTTAGCAGTGCATGTGTGACCACTGCACCACCAGGATGGTAAAAAGAAGCAGAAATCTCTGCCTCGCTGGGCTCAGATGACCCTGCAGGTGGCTCCGTATGCCATGCTGACTTCCTCTCCATAGCAGAAGTCCCACTAGTGAGCAGCTGGGAGGAACAGAGTGTTCCTTCTTACCGTCCAGGAGGCTAGAAGTCCAATTCCAGCCCCTGGCTCCCAGGGGATGGCTGTCTCGGTCAGCCCTAGGGGGGAGGCCCTGGTCCCTCTCCAGCTTCTGCTCCTGGGTTGCTTGGTCATCTGCATGTGGCATGTGATTTCCCATCTCTCTGCTTTTTTTCAATCTCTGCATTCGAGATGGGATTGAGGTAAACCCTGTACTGATGGGGGCTTATTAATGTAACTAAGAAGGCCCTGTTCTCTAATGGGATTATGCCCGAAGGTCCAGGGTATAGGATTTAAATTCTTACTTAAGTGGAGGCACACCCAACTAAACAAACAAACAAACAAACAAAAACTTCACTCCCATGGAGTCGGTTCCGGCTTATAGCTACCCTATAGGACAGGGTAGAACTGCCCCTGTGAGTTTCCGAGACACTGTGGGAGCAAAATGTCTCCTCCTTCTCCCGAGGAGCGACTGGTTGGTTTGAACTGCTGACCCTGCAGTTAGCAGCCCAAGACGTCCGGTCCAGGACAGACTTTTGTACAAGCAGCTCTGCTACTTTGCTCAGGTCTGTTTCTTTCCACCCCCATTTGCCCCGTGGGTGTCCTCTGCCCATGGTCCCTACCATGCCCACCTTTGCTCCATTTGTCGTCATTTGGGCCACTGTCCACTTAGCCTTCGACTCATGGGAACGCTGTTCATGAATTGCTGCCTCGTCCCCAAGACGGGATCAGGCTGCTGTAACTCACTAAGTTTTCCTTTCTGATTTCTGGAGGTGGAGAGCCAGGCCTTTCTAGTCTGCCTTCGCCTGGGAGCTCCACTAACCCCTGCTCAGCGTCATAGCAAAACCCAAGCCTTTGCCACAGGTGGCTGGTAGCCGCTGCTTGAGGTGCACTGGCCAGGACTGGACTCCATGAGCTGGGGGGATCTCAGCAAGGCCAGAGGCAGAGAGCAGGGTCAAGGCTCAGGGCAGCAGAAATCCAAGTCAAAGTCCAGCCTGCTGGCTGGCTCTAGTCACTGTTGAGGAGCCAGAAGATGCTTGCAGGTGGCACAGGAAGATGCCTGTGATCTTGTGTATCTGAAAAAAGTCACAAGCCCCACAGTTCCCTGACAGACCCCTCACTACACCAGGAGCCAGCAGACACCAATTAAGCTCCTTTTAGAAGAGAGTTGGGACCTAGAAATCAGACCCATTTAAATACCCCAGAAGAGAGCAGAACTGCCTTTTAGGGGCCCCCAGGCTGTTGTTTTTAAGAAGTAGATGCTCAAGTTTTTCTCCCACCAAGTGGCTGGTGGATTTGAACTGCAGACCTTTGGGTCAGCAGCTGGTCGCCATAACCACTTTACCACCAGGGTGCTCCTGTGGGAAGAATAGGACAATGAATGGGGCCACAGCAAATGATCCCGAGGTACAAGAAAATTTGTAAAGTCAATAGAACAGAGCTTGAGGATCTGCGGATAGGATGTGAAAGTTCTATCAAGAATTACTGTGTGGTTAAAAAACCCACTACTATTGAGTTGATTTTGGCTCATAGCAACCTTATGGGACAGAAGAGAGCTGCTCCTTGGGGTTTTAGAGGCTGTCAATCTTGATCCAAGCAAATTGTCTCATCTTTCTCCCTTGGAGAAGCTGGTGGGCTTGAACTGCTGGTCTTTTGGTTAGCAGCCCAATGCTTAACTCACCGTACCTACTGCCTGTGAAGCCATTTGACACTCAGTTCTGACTCACAGCGACTGTGTTCACAACAGAAATGGACTCTCTTCCTCGTCAACGGACAGCCAATTCCTTCTCCACACTCTGTTCTTAGTCTGGGAGCTCTGCTGGAGCCCATTCACTGGGTCTTTTGGTCTGTTGGTCTTTTCAAATATCAGTGACCTAGTCTCCAGGATCACATCACAGCAGCACTCAAGCCACCACAATACACAACAAAACTGAGTCAAGGGGTGGCCTAAAGATTCACAGCCTCAGAAACCCACTAGGGCAGTTTAACTCTGTCCTGTGGGCTCACTGTGAGTTTCTGATCAACTCAATGGCAATGGGTGAGGCTCGTCGGAGGCAGTGGTAGAATTCTGATTCTGTGTGTGCGAGACCCAAGTTCGATTCTCAGACGATGCACTTCAAGCACAGCCATTGCCAGCCTGCCAGTGGAGCCTTTGTTGTTATGATGTGATTTCAGTGGAGCTTGCCGATGGACCAGGAAGAAAGGCCTGGTGATCTGCATCTGACAATCAACTCTATTGATCATAATAGGCCGAGCCTGTTGAGCATGAGTTCTCATGAATCAGGCAGCACATAACCAAAGCGAGAATGTCCTGCTGCGTTGTCAATGAGAATACTGGTTACTTGTCCAACTTATTTCCTGCATCAACTCATTTAAAATATTTTTTAGGGCTACAAGACCTTTAATGACATCCCTGAGATGGTCCAGAACCAAACCACGAACGTCATATCCGGTGAGACTCGGGCACTTTTTTCTCTCTGGGTTAAGAGTCAGGCCGTCGGAAAGGTTAACTGCCATTTGCCTCTAAAGGCATTCTCTCATTCTAACCTTGAAAACCGCAAGCCAAGCAAAGCTTTTAGATGTTGAAAAAGAAATGGATCTTCTTATGTGTAATACTTGTCAATGTCATCCTGCTGGCCAGGCCCTTTGTGACTCAGAGCCCGGGTGCGCAGTGACAGCGCTGGGAACGGGCGTCTGTGGGAAGGCCACAAACCAGCAACTAGACCCCAAACCACGCAGATCGCATGTGCGAAGAGAACATACCTGGACTCTTCTACATGGGGAAACCCTGCGTCTGAGGATGTATTTTCTCTTTTCCGCAAGATTTCTACCCGCCCCCTGATGTGATAGGACAGTGTCGTAGGCTCATGTAGCTGCTGAGAGTTTGATGGCGACAGAATCGGTGTTGAGCATATCTCTCCAGACTGGGCCTTGCTGAAGCAGGCGGTTCAGCATCTTGATATTTAGGGTGAAGGCTTAGCCGAGGGTGAGCCCCAGCCCTTCCTCGTGTAGGCTTGGCGACAAACCAGGGGGAGGGGGTTTGCCCAGGGGAGAATGTCCTGGGAGCCACGTACAACTTTTCTTCTTCGGTCTGAATCATTTTCTCAGTACTTCATTTACCAGCTGACCAGCTCGTTTTAAAATACCGAGCAGAGGGTTTGCTTGTTTGGTCAAAGATGTCCTGGCAATCCAGGAGGATTGGGGGTAGAAGGTATTGTATCCGATGACGTGATGCTGGAACTGACTTAGCGGCTTCTGGTCTTAGATTGGTTGGGCATGGCCCTCCCACCCCCACCCAAGACTGTGGCCCTTACCCTTTAGGGTTGGACCTGAGCTTAGCATAGCCAGCCATTTGTAACCAAAAGGGCAGCCTTGATACAGTCAGGGCTGGAAAGAGGAACCCCAGGGCAGGAGCCAGGTAAGTCATGGTGCCTCGAGGGGTTCACAATGGAAGCGTTAAGTCAGCGTGTGCTTGAATCGATGGGTGTAAGTAAAACTGGCCCTCTGCCCTGAAGGCTTTCACCTGATTCACACTCAAAAGCTGAAGGGAAGAGGTTAAGGTTGCTCCGAAGATGCGAAGGGATTCAAGGCCACATTCAGGCTGTCCTGGGCTGGAGGCCATGGGCTCCCCTCTCTGGGGTGCCTGATAGGCACGTGCTGACTAATGTTCATGTTCAATTTTGTGCTTCCTCTCTGGATCTCTCCTGCCCTTACGTGCAGCCCTGCCTTGTAAGTGAGGTGGCACCCAGCACCCCAGCATGCTTGCTTAACGAGGCCTGCGGCACACACTGCCATCCTCTAAGGCTAAGCCCAAGCCAGAGTTTTCCCAGGGCCTGACGGGCGTACCCTGTCAGCCTGGATAGCAACCGCCATTCCTCCTGCCCTTCCAAAGCAAACAGCAAGCCTGCTCTCCAAGGTCCCTTTGGTGGGCTCGTTCCCCACGCTTTTTTTGAATGTCCACTGTGTGCCAGGCTCCCCTCAGACTAGGGTGCAGGATGAACAGGGTAGGGCCATGCTTACGCTTCAGCTCCAACCTCCTCCCCCCACAAATTCAAATGCCGTCCATTTGATTTTGACTCAAACGACACTAGGACAGAGTAGAACTGCTCTTGCGGGTTTTTCCAAGACTTAATCACTCTTTCAAAAAATTCCACACTCTCTGCCATCCAGTCAGTTCTGACTCATAACGACCCTATCGGACAGGGTAGTCCACCCCCCTTGCCCCCACCATGGGTGTTCAAGACTATAACTTCTTATGGGAGCAGAAAGCCCTATCTTTCTCCTGAGGAGCAGCTGGTGGTTTCAAACTGCCGACCTTGTGGTTAGCAACCCAACATGTGGTCCCTCCGCCACCAGCACTCTTCTTTCAGCTTGCATGAATGAAATGCAGTTGACCATGCTCTTGTTGCCAAGAGTTTACCTTGCACGTGAGAAACATGGATGTCTTTTAAGTCTCCACTGGCATGAATCAAAATTGAGACAGAAATAGCACCTTAGGTCATGTGTTACACCGGGTCGACTAGACAAACAATTTCATTGACACTCATAGATGTGTACAAAAGAGCTTTATATCAAGGAGTAATTGGATATCAGGAAAACATCCCAGCCCAGTCCAAATCAAGTCCATAAGTCCGATTCTAGTCCATGAATCCCTCTTCAGGCTCATGCAGTGATGCAGAATGCAGGAAGATCACTGGCCTCTGGGTGCAGAGTCTTGTGGGTCCAATGGCGGTGGAAGCATCACAAGGCTCTGGCAGGTCTCAGCCACAGGACTCGCCAACAGGAAGGTGAAGCAGAGAGAGAGGGGGAAGTCCCCAGGACCCTCCTTCTGAGAAGGCCACACCCACAAGGAGACATCATCAAGCTGATTGATAGGCTAGATGCCCCCCTACACTCTATGTATCAAGTTGACATGAAATTCTGTAACAACCCCAGTTCACTTGTTCCCCCCAAAAAAAGATCCTGCAAAATTACCATGTTCCTAAATATTATTTTTCAAATGGAGGAATTGTTATTTCCCTAGATAGTTTTCTAGAATCATCTAAGAGAGGCTTTAGAATAGGGCAAAGCTGAGTTTCAACCCCATGACCATGGTAGGTAGTCCCTGACTTACTGTGGGATTCCTCCCCAAGAACTCCTTTGTAAGTTGGCTCTGGTGTAAATTGAATACCCCATTAAAAAACAGCAGCAACAACATCATTGGTACCTTTTATTATCAGTCCATTCGGCAATCCAATCTTTCTTCGTGGGGGTTGAAGCGATCACCTGTGAACATCTATGAGTGAACACACGAGGACTATGCCATCAGCAAATTATGTGCTGCAACCTATTATTAATGATAAGATTTACCAGGAATAGATGACTGTAAGTGCAGTGTGTGGTAACCAAAAAATGTAAGTCGGGGACTACCTGTACCATCTACAAAAGAAACCCACGGACGAGTCATTGCACCTCTGTGAGTCTCCGGGTTACAGAGGATATCCACCTGAACAGGACAGACCAGTTCATTGAGCAAGGGAGTGCCGAGCTGAGCGAACAGGTGAGTTAGCAGATGAGTTAACAACAGAGGAGTTAACAGAATGAGCACATGAACAGAATGGCTGCGTAAAAACAGATCGTTAAGAGGTTGGGTTAACGGAACAGCTGAGTGCATAGAACAGCTGAGTTAATGAAATGAATGAATTAACAGAATGAGTGACTTACTAGAAAAGATGAATGAACAGAAGCATTACAAGGACAGATGAGCTAATATAATGGGCGAGTTAATGAACAGAACGGACCAGTTCACAGCACAATTCACTGACATTTGCAAATGTCCTTGACACACAGTGGGCACAACGCCCACTCCATTGACCTGTCCTGGCTTTTGGGTGATGGAGCAGGAGAAGAAAACTCTGGCTTGTCTCCCCCCCCCCTTGTCTCCCCCCCGCCCCTGCCCCCCACCCCCAATAATAGGTCGGCACTCACAGCCTGCTGAGTTGTCATGTATTGTTTTGGGGTGGCTTTGGTTCCTTCATCCATGCTTGCTCTGAACCCCATCCTGCGGGGGGACATTCATCACATGGGAAAGCCAGAAGGGCCTCACTCAAGCTTCTGTTTGGCTCCCAGACAAAGCCGCTCCATTCTTCAGGTTTGCCAGTACATAATCCAATTCTCCTTGTTTCCAGATATTAGGACGGTCTTGGATTCCATCGGCTCAACTCTCTCAAAAGTAACCGATCAGGTCCCCATTCAGGACATCATAGCAAATATCACAGGCTACATTAATGATACAGAAGCATATATTGGCAGCTATTTTTACACACTGGAAAAATACGAATCATACAGGTGAGTGTCTACTTTGAGCAGGTAAACTAGCCATGGGGAACCCTGGGATGGGTTGGGGTCAATGTTTAAGTTTCTCTCCTAGGAGCAAATTGTACGAAGGAGCCATACCTGAGACATGTTTCAGTCCTGGTGTATGTTCGATCAAAAAGTTGAAGGCAGGCCATTCTTGACCCAGATATTCAGTACTCTACAATTCTGATGTCTTTACTATCCCCTAGCTGTCTTAGAAGAAGTACAAACCAAGCTGTCTTAGAAGAAGTATAGCCAGCGTGCTGTACAAAAGCAAGGATGGCTAGACTTTGTCTCACATACTTTGGACATGTTGTCAGGAGAGACCAGTCCCTTGGGAGAGTAGAGGGGCAGTGAAAAAGAGGACGGCCCTTAACAGGAAGGATGGACGGACACAATGGCTGTCACAATGGGCTCAAGCATAAGCACAATGGTGAGATGGCGCAGGGACTGGCAGTGCTGTGTTCTTCTGTGTGTGGGGTCTCTATGGGTCACCATAGGCCAGTGGCACCTGACAACAGCAAGTGGTCCCTGCGATCTTAGTTCTAATGACCAAGCCAGTCATGCCACATCATTTAAAAGAAATTAAGAAGGGTATTTAGGAAATGTTCTTTAAGAGGTGTTGTAAAACACATGGAGTTTGATTCTTACCGAAAGAATATTCTCTTCTGAGCCATGCCTGGAAACCAGTGAATTGCCCCCCAAAAGCCCAGTTTAGGGTGACCTGCCCATTAGGGAATGCCCTAAGTGACGTTTGTCTGGTGGAACATGGCGGTTGCCTCAGAGGGCTGGAGAAGGGACGGCTTGGGGCTTGAAACATCTTGAGGATCGCGGGAGATTAAGATGCCTGCCTTTGGAAGGGATCCCGTCTCAAGTCTTCAACCCACGGGTGGTCCAACGACATCCGGGGCCATTCAGGGTCTTCATGAGGCCGGAGAGCGGATGCGTGAAGACGCGATAGCAGTGCCTTCACGTCACCGCAGAACAAGTGGGTGGCCTCTCACCTGGCTCACCCTGGGGCTGTGGACCCTTGGTGGTGTCCCCTGTGGTACAAAATGAGGCCTGGTGACCCAGTGCGTAAGCCCTTGACTGTAACCCAAAGGTTACGGCCAGCTTGACCCCGCCAGTGGCTCCGTGGGAGAAGCTGGGGTCGTCAGCTTCAGTTCAGATCACAACTCCGCGGGGCAGTTACACTCTGTCCCACAGGGGCAATAGGAGCTGGAATCTGCTGAACAACAATGGGATGGTGGGGTTCAAGGTGTAGTGGTTACACGTTGGGCTGCTGCTTCACCAGAGAAAGAGATAAGGCTTTCTACTCCTGTCAAGAGCTAGTCAACCTGGGAAGCCCACAGGCAGGTCTGCCCTGTGCTGCAGGGCCGCTGTGAGTCAGCATCCACTGCATGGCAGCTGCATTTGCATTGGCCTTTTGGTGGTTGGTTTGGTTTGGATGTGTGGTGCAAACGGTTGAACAAACCCGACCGCCAACTGGCCGGCCAGCAGTTTGAACCCATCCAGAGGCCCTTTGCTTAGGAAAAGTCGAAAACCCTGGGAGACCCATCTCCTCTGACCCACGGGGCCACCGTGAGTCAGAATCAACTCAAAGACTGGTTTTGTGCCCCTTTAAACCACTCGCTGTGAGTCTCCTCCCAATGGTGACCCCACCCACGTCTGTCTGAGAAGAACTGTGCACCGCAGGGGGGTGGTGTTCCCTGGCTGATGTCCAGGGAAGTAGATCGCCAGGCCTTTCTCCCAGGGTGCCTCTGCATAGGCTCGCACTGCCGTCCTTTGGGCTAGATCTGTTTGCATGGCCCAGGAATCTCGCTCTCCCTAACCCTTGCCCTGAATGAGGACATTTGGGCTGTAGGAAGTGAAGTCAGTTAGGTAAGATCAGTCTAGGGGGCCAGGGGGGCTGTCTATCTTCTGCTGCCTCTTCCCCCCCGCCCCGATGCTCACAATCATGCCATGTTATCAGTGCGTGTTCGGCGGTTGCTCTCTGGCGGGTTTGGGCACAGACACAGACACCAAGCCCCACAGACCTCTGGGCGCTGCCACGGGGCGTTGCCAAGGAGAGCGATCAGTGCAGTTCATCTGCCTGCGTGTGCAGTGTCCCCAGCCCCAAGACTGGAAGCTTATTTGTAGTATTAAATTAAAAAATTGACGCTGAGGGAGGAGGTGGGGTGAAGGGCCAGCCCCCACCGCTAATACTCCTATTACTAGTACTTGTACTCGGATTCAGTAATACTACTTCTAGGTTCAGTAATGCACAATTGTACGATTGAGATATATAAGTATTATATTAAAGTCATCGAGAGCATGAGAGATAATACAATAATACAGTCAGACACGTTACATGGCAACATTGCTCACCTCAGCCCAGCTTGGTGGTCCACGTGGAGAGAGGGGGAAGGGAAGGAGGGAAAGGGAACAAGGGAGAGGGGGAAGAGAGTCAGGGAGGTCAGAGTCTGAAAGAGAAGTCTGAGCCTCTATATTGCTGACCCATGCCTATATACCTTTTGGGGGCATGCCAGCCCACTAATTACAGGTAGAGACATACGTCACAGGGAGGGGTTACACTATAGGGTACCCAGTAATGAGAGGGTGGTCTCTGGGTCTCCATAGAAACCATTATCAGTTGGGTGTGAACTCCGCCCACAGGAACCAAACTAATGGCCTTAGTTGGAGAGCGAGAGAGAGGTAACCCATTGTCTCTAGCATCAGGGAGCAGGCCCCTCCCTCCCCGTGGTGGGGTGAGACAGCAGTCTGGCAGCAAGTATCTGACTTCCCCCCACACTTATTTGTGAAAGGAGTTCAGCCGAGCAGACAGGAGGTTTTCGCCTGCCCTAAAAGCCTTTGGAGGCCAGGCTCCATGTGAAGGCTTTAATTCTGTCCCTCGTGACATGTGGCACCGACCTCCACAGAAGGGATGCCGGTAGCTGTTACACTGAGATTGCTCTTCATGGAATGAAAGACACCAGGGTACCGAGCAGAGGGGGATCTTTGGTTTTTGTTTTTCCCGGTGTTTTCGACTGTTGGGAAGCGCCTCTCCCCTTGAGTCCTCCCTGCTGCCGGGAAAGGTTGGCACACTCTCTGGAAATATCAGTTAGGCCAATTGAGGACCCATTGTCCCAGAAGTCTTGCCAGGATTACAGTCCCATTAGAGAATTGAGGGCATTTGCTTAGGATGCTCCTAAGTTTCTGAACAGTTAGTGCAGCCACCAGGTCGTCTCTTTCTGGTTCAGTCAAGAGCATGATGCCCCAGAATTGTTTTCTGCTAGCACAGCACACAGAACTGGGTGTGTCTTGGTCTGTAGGCTGAATGGGGCACAAAGTGAACCATGAACCAGAAAGTCAGCACTTTGAACCCACCAGCCTCCCCACGGAAGAATCGTGAGACTTTCTACTCCCTGTAAAGATTCAAAGTCTTGGAAACCCACTGGGGCGGTTCTGCTCTGTCCTCAGGAGTCGGAATCGACTTGGCAGTGGGTTTGGTTTTCTCTGTAGGCTAGTTGTGATTCATGGCTCGACAGCGTTTAAGAAGTGTGATACAGCTTTGGGAACTTTGAAAGAGCTCGACATTCCTAAGGGGTGTTATTCTCGGTAGTTTTGGAGAAGTTGAACAAGCATTGCTTGTGATGCACATCATAACACTACAGGTAAAGGCAACAGAGTCAAAGGATGGAGTCGTAGGGGTCGTCTAGGACAGAGCAAAGCGGCCCTGCCAAGTTCCCAAGGTTGTCATCTCTCGGGAAGGAGACAGACACATAGCTTCTCCACTGAGCAGCTGCTGGGTTCAAACCGCTGGCCGTTCGGTTAGCGGCAGAGCCCTTTGCCCGCAGTGTCACCAGGGATTCTTAAAGAGGGAACAAGAGCTAAAAATAAAAAATTTCACTGCCATCGAGTCAATTCTTAATTGTAGAGCTCCTATGGGATAGTGTGGTAGACTGGGTTGACTAGCGAAACAAATCCATAGATGCTCACATGTGCATAAGAGAGAGTTTTATACCAAAGAGTAATTGTATATTAAGAAAACATCCCAGCCCAGTCCAGATCAAGCCCATAAATCCGATAATAGCCCACAAGTCCAATCCTGGTCCATAAATCCCTCTCCAGACTCAGGCATGCAGTGATGGAAAATGCAGGAAGATCGCAGGCCGATGGTTCAAAGTCTTGTGGATCCAGGGGTGGTAGAAGCATCTCCAGGGTTCTCACAGTTCTCAGCTCGGCTCCACGTGGCTTGTCAAAAGGAAGGTGAAGCAGAGAGAGAGTGAGAGAGAACGGGAGAGAGACCCCCCGCTTCCAGAGAGAAAGAGAGAAGGAGGCCGGCCTCAGAAAGACATTCATCTCGTTGCCTTCCTATCAAGCTGCAGCCTGATTGACAGGAGGAAAAACTCCACCCACGTGTTCCTGCAAGAGCCGTGTTGGCACAGAAAACCTAGCTGTCACAGCTAAGGTAGAACAGCCCCTGTGAGTTTCCCCAGGTTGTAACTCCTTACGGGAGTGGAAAGCCCAAACTTTCTCCCCAGGAGTTGGTTGGTGGTTTTGAACTGTTAACTTTTTGGTTTGCAGCCCCACATGTAACCACTGTGCCACCAGGGCTCCTCAGAGGGAGCAGAAGGAAGCTAACCACTTAAGACTGCTGAGAGAAACGCTGCGCAGCGAAACTCAAAGTGTTTCTCTTTGCCGTCTCTTTGTTAGCCTCCTGTAAGGCAGGGTTGAGCTCACTTTACCTCAAAACTCAACAATACAAAACAAAACAAAAAGAAACGGATTTCCAGCAAGCATTTCTGCCTCACTGGGACCCAACAGAGTAGGACTGCCTCTATCGCTTTCCGAGGCCTGTCGACTTTTACGGGAGCCAAAAGCCTCATCTGTCCCCTGAAGAGTGGTGGGTGAGTTGGAATTGGGGACCCTTGTGGTTAGTGACCCACACAAGCGCCATGAGGGCTCCTTTGAGGCTGTTGGCACATCCCACCACATCGGTGCTGAGACATTGGGTGTCTCGGCCAACGTTGTTGTTGTTGTTGTTGTTGTTGTTAGTTGCTGGTGAGTCACTTCCAGCTCCTGGTCAGTGTGGAACTGCCCCCAGGGTCTTTTCTAAAGCTGTGAGCTTATAGAAGCAGATCGCCAGCCTTATCTTCTGAGATGCCTCTGGGCAGGATGGAGCTGCCTTTGCACCGGCTTTGCAGCTAACCACTCACCAGCCCAGGCCATCCAGTGGAGTCTGACTCGTGGTGGCCCTGTAGGAGAGGGTAGAACTGCCCCTGCGGGTTTCTGAGACTGTGACTCGTGAGGGGAGAAGAAAGCCTCATCTTTTTCCCTTGGAGCCGCTGGTGCATTTCGAACCGCCGATCTTGCCCATTAGCAGTCCAGCTAGAACCGACCACACCACCAGGGCCCCATTGGGGCACTAAGGGGCTTAAAAAATAAGCTTCCCGATATCGAGCAGGGAGACTAGTGATGGGAAGACATCTTTCAATAATATCCACCCCCTCTAAGGAGCCCACAGAGGAACTGCCAGTGGCTGACCAAGGGATCCCTGAATTGCTGCTAGGTGGACAGTTGTCTGCATCCACGCCCCAGCACCCCCACCACCCAGTCTAATGCTACTTTGCGTCCTCTCCAGGTGGCTGGGCTGCTTGGTGGTCTGCTGCCTGCTGACCCTCATCGTGCTTTTCTACTCCCTGGGGCTACTGTGTGGCACCTGCGGCTACCACGAGCACGCCACTCCGACCACCAGGGGCTGCGTCTCCAACACCGGCGGCATCTTCCTCATGGCGTGAGTGTTGGCTCCTTTTACGGGGCGGGCGACAGAGTCGGGTGCTGACTCGGGTGCCCTGGGGGCCTGCTGCCTTCTAGACCCAGCCAGCTGGGATCCAAGAGGGTGGGCATCTTGGCTCGTACGGGCTCGCTTTGGTCTGGCTCTCCTATGGCATGTGGCAAGTGAATGAAAACCTCTGAACGGTTTCCATCCTGACCACCAAGCCCAAACACAGCGTCTGACCCAGTGGAAGCCTCCGGAATGAAGGCCATGGGAGTTCTTTCCCAGTTTGCTTCTGGACTCCGCTGCGCTCCACCTGCTCGGTCATTCGCTAACCTCTTGTGCCTGGCTCGATGTGGTCAGCAGCATCACAAGCTAATATTCACCAAGAAGCTTGATTTGCAACTGAGGGAACCAACCCAGCCAGCACCCTGGGCCATCCGACAAAGCAGTTTCCACTGAGTGGATTGTGAATGTGTGTGGTCCCAGGTGTGTCAGAGTCGAGCAGAGCACCACAGTGGTGCCAATGGAAGTGGGGGATCCACAATCGACTGGGTCCTTAGGAGCAACGTGTGCAATTATAGAAATGAGACCGAAAAGATGGGGCACAGGGGTCTCAGCTGCAGTATTGGGAGAAGAGGCTCGAGTTTATTTAGCAAGAAGGTTTTATAGTAATGTGGCTTGCGGGCCTTTTGTTAGTACATATCATAAAATGGTCAATGTGTTCATCTTGATTATCCTGAGCCCTCTAAGGGGAACACTTCAAAGGAAGGGTCTGGTAGGTGAGAAAACAGATGGTGTCAATCAACAAATGGTGTCAATGGCTCCTTAAAAATGGGAAACAATGGCAGTGGACACTACAGATAAGCATCCTGTAAACAGTGTATGTGAGAAGCCAGTGGTCTGTAGGAGACAACTTATTTTATAGAGTGTATATGTGAAGAACATGTTTCATGGAGAAACGTGCATCTGGCACTGTGTTAGTCTGGATACACAAGAGAAACACATTCAGAGACACTCATCTGTGTATAAGAAAAGCTTTATATACAAGAGCAATTGAATATTGAGAAAACATCCCAGCCCAGTCCAGATCAAGTCCATAAGTCCAATAATAGCCCATATGTCCGATACCAGTCTATAAATTCCTCTGCAGACTTATATGCAAAGACACCGAGTGCAGGAAGATCACAGGCCAGTGGGCAGAGAGTCTGGTGGATCCAGTGGCACTGTGAGCACCTCAGTGCCGGCAGAGCTCTCCACGTGTCTCCTTCACCTCCAGGGCTCTAGCATAGTTCCGTGTGTCTTCTCAACGGGAATGTCTTGCAGGGAGTGTGTGAATGTCCCACCTCCATCGAGCTATTTATCTCCTTAGCGGCTCCAAATGAGGTCATCAAGCTGCAACCTGATTAACAGGCTAAACTCCACCCCTTCACTCTTAAGTCTCAAATTGACAACAGATTATGT